TTTCCCTACCAATTAATAACCATTTTTGCCAACTTTCGTAATAGTTTCAAAATTTAAAAAAAAAAATTTGATTCAAGAACCACAACTTTACACCATATGTTATATTATGAAAATCGGAGAATATTAAAGTGAACTTGCATTAGCTTTTGACACGAACCCAGATTTTGAAACCCTAAATCTAGAGAGTTTGGAACATCATTTTAGACCACGTGTTACACATGTCTTTGCTTATCTATAAGATCTGAGATTCGCATTTTTCTTTCTCTCTTTTTTTTTATTAGTTTATTTTTCAATTTCTTGATGAAATTTATGAGTATAACAATTTTTAGCATACATAATAAAATCATATGTTTTTTATATAATTAGATTGACAATTTCAATACATGCGTAGACAATGAAATTTATGGGTTTAATAATTTTTAGTATACATAACAAAATCATACGTTCATATACCATTATAAAGATAATTTTAATATCTACATATACACAAAAAAAAAATGTGTAACTTCGATAATGGTACAATAAATTATGAATAAAACAATATTGTTACAAAAACATAATTTTAAAACAAGAAAAATTAGAAACAAATCCAAACCTTTTTTTTTCTAAATCTTTGATTACTGGACGATTTCAAGTAAGAAATCCCTCAATTTGTGACTTCAACGACCCAGATTTGAAATTCTGGATTATTGGACGATTTCAAGTTTCAACGGAGATTTTTTTTTTTGAATTTTATATGAGATCCTTTTAATGGAAACAAAAAAAAAATATAGGACGAGAAAATTTATCCTGCAAGGCTTTGACCAGAGTCCAGAGAATATTGATGCACGAGCTTTGACCTTTTTAGCCCATTTACCTATAGGCCCAAATGAGATGGGCCCACTACATATGGGCCCAAATGAGATGGGCCCACTACATATGGGCCCAAATGAGATGGGCCCACTACATATGGGCCCAAATGAGATGGGCCTTATTGATTTCCTTGATTCAATTTACACGAGACCAAGTTTTTCATGGACACAAATCTTCAGTCCAAATGTTTCAGAAGAGATTTTCTTCACGTGAAACAATAACGTCATGATTCAGATAAAACTACAGCAGAAGCCAACATAGGTCGTTTTTTGTCCCTGTCTTCCTCAGTTATAAACCATTCTTGTCCTCCTACGGCCCATATTCACAAACCAAACAACCGAGAACGCCGGGGATGAAGTGAAATGACCTAAATGCCCCTCGACCCGGGGATATCGATCCACTCGAGCTGAAGCTCGACCTCTCCGCACTCGACGTGCCTGAGTCTCAAGAACATGTCCTGGACGATTTTACCCTTCGACCAGACGATCTGGCTTTCCTCGGACAGGCAGTTCTCTCTGGTCGGCTGCACCTTCATGATTATGGTTCCCTCCGGGAGCCCTCCGAGCTGGTGACGGATCTTTATGGCTTCAAGAAAAGTTCCGATCGTGAACTCCGCCTCTCCCATCCTGTCGTCGGCCGAGAAGATGTCCCTATCGTACACGGTCTGTTTCATCACACGAGGTTGAAGCCGTGAGTTCTTGTTATTTTTTTTTTGCCACTACATGGACCGATTTCGCATCTGTGAACTTTATTAGTTCGGTGGATTGCTTGCTCGGTTGAATATCACGAAGATACGGAAAGATAACTTAAACGTATACATGTGTAGAATCGCTTACAATCTTAACGGGGAGAGTCGGATCGGTCACGGAAAGAGTCAAGTCTTCGTTCCACTCAGGATTCACATTCTTTTTCACCACTCGAGTTTTCAGCTTCTGCATCAGAGAAAATCAAGAAAGCAACACAAGAACGGTTATAACCTGCAGAGATCATCACTTCAGTCACCAAATCAAGAACATGCGAATGGGACTCTTCACAAGAACAAAACAAAAAGCTCTTCACTGATAGATGATGACAGGGTCAGTTTTTTTCATAAGGGTCAGCCCAAGGAAACACAAGCAATGAGTTGATCTTATTGATGAAACATGATTCCATATTCCAGTTTTATACGGATCGCGTATTCATTGGGTTCGTATACCCACAAATTTCATATCCAATTCTTGAAAAAATTGGCCTCTGTATCTTGTCTTGTTCTACATATTCTCCTCTACTTGGATAGTTCTCTCCTTATCCACATGCAATTATTCAAAGGTCCCCATTTTAGCAGAAAAGATTTCTATACTTCTGCGGTAAGATAATTCAAGAATGTACAAAGATCACAGATCAGTTACTAGTTCGTGAACTCCATATTGCCACATAGATCTTTCAGTCGAAAATTAAGCATACAAACTCGTAGCATGGTGAGATATGTTTTGCAACGAAACGAAAAAATATCCGCAAACAATGTCCAACCCTTCAAAATCCACAACGTTTTCAACTCAATTTCCATCTAAAACTTGGGGAATCCTCAGTGATTAGGATGGAGATGACACATTCCAAACGATACACACCGATGCCACGAAACCTCTTGATCACTTAGAAATCAAGGGTTTTCCTCTTCTACGGAAAATATATCCTCCTCCTAGTGATCTACCAACCTGATCTTTTGGCATGGCACTTGGCTTGCACATTCAGCAACTAGACGAGCCTTTTCCAAACTCAAATCAAATCGACCCATTAAGCTAAGCATCTACACTAATCTATGGATATTACTGAATTGAACCAAGTAATATCTTCATCGCTCTATTATCTAAGTGTCTCTATACACACCAAAACATCTATCTTTGATCCTTCAGTAAAACATCATCGTCCCCAACCAGTCCAATCAAAACAAGAAGCATCATCGAATTTGACCAGTTAACCGAAATCAACAAACACCAGAATCCACCATCAACACCAATCCTAAGAAAACAGAGCAAAACAGATGACTCCTGGGGCATGATCCGAGACCTCCAAAACCCATCAACCGAAGCGAGAAATCACTTCGAAATCAGCCATGAGAACTCGAAATTCGGTCGAAAATCAGAGAGAAAAGAAAAGAAATGGGTTTACGTGTTTTTTTTGGGGGGTGTTTTACCTGTTTCCCCATACGAACGACGGCATAAGGATCGCTGCTCGAGACATCTCTAATGGCGAGATTCACACCCCTCTTCACGTGAAGTCTGAGAAGACCCATCAGATCCTCCATTTTCTTTTTCCTTCTTCAACGAAAGATCGAATCAAACGAGAGTTCAGTGGCCAAATATGATCTATCCTTCTCCTTGTTCGTCTCTCCAAGTGGGTATGAAAAATACGAGACGAGATGCGCTCCCCTTTATATAGCACCCCAGAAGTTTCTCGTCTTTTTTTCCACTTTTTTTTTAAAAAAAAATTTAATAAGAAAAAGGACAAAAAATTAGTGTTTATTTATTTAATATTTCGTATATGGTCGGAATTAATATTTCTTTGTTTGTTAGACTATGGTTATTATTATAGATCGAGACTCCTTTAAAGCATAGAAAAACTTATAGAAAACAAAATCTAGATAGTTATACTTTTTTTTATATTTAGAATATTCTTCCTATAAGGTTGATTTAATGATTCTAAATTATCTTGGTGATTTCGAAAGGAATGAGATATTTTTATTTCCTTTTTAATTAAAAATTTATATATTACCTTTATTTTTGCATAATAATGCACCAGATCATATACTTTTCTATACTCCGGTGGAATTTCAAATGTTATAATTAATATCATTAAATCTTTTAGTGAATTACTTAACATTTTAAAAATTATGATTTAATATAAAAATATATTATTCAATCTATTATTTTAGGGAAAAATATTATTTATAATTGTTATTAAAGTGAAGAATCAAAAACTGACTATACCGTTTAATTAGAAAATAATATGTTATATTTGATGGTTTGACACGCCATTTGATGGTCTGGCACGCCATCCATGCCAAACCATGAATGATCAAATCTTTATATTAAATATCATAAAAATAAGCATTTATAAACAAATTTTTTGGAAAGAGGATTTATTTTATTAGTATACCCTTACAAAAAAAAATAATTAGCATAGAGATTATCTAATATCTATAATCACCACCGAAGATGTGAGAACCAGTGGGGTATGAATATGAGCCTCCTTAATCCAAATATGTGGATAACCTTTAACCAGGAAAATAAAATTAATAAAAATCTTATGAAGAAAAATTAAGATATATTTTTAAAATTTTCTAGTTTATTTTTATATTAAAAAAGAAACTAATTGCCTAACCTAATAATGAGTAATTAGTCTTTGTAATGATGTCGTATTTGTTTGACCAAGTAACTATATTATTTTTACTTTATTGATAATGGGTCTTAATTTAAAATTAAATAATTTATCTATATTATATTAAATGTCAAAAGCCACCCCCTAATGAGGATTGACTCGGCGAGTCAACGGGTCGGAAACGAGTCGGATTTGGGTCATGAATCGGGTCCGATCCGATGGGCTGCTTTTTATTTACATTTTGAATTCCACTGCAACGTGCGTGTAAAATATTGTAATATTTTCAGTTGACTTTTCTGCATTTGATATCTATCATTTTTTAAAGAGAAAATATATTAAGCTAACTTTTTTTTAATTAAAAGGAATATATTAGATGGATGACAATTCATTCGAAAAATAATCATGATTTTGTTTTATTTTATAAGTTTTTTATTTACAGTATATATATATAAATAATTCTAAAATTATTATATCATGTTTTGCTTTCAAAGCCCTTGTCACACACAAGATTTTATCCACAAAAAAAAATTGGCTTTTAATATAAATCATAGTAGATTATTTTTAGATATTCAGTCTCCTTTACAGTGTGTTTTTGGTCTCCTTTTTTTTCTGAATTCTATATATTCATATAATATACTTAAAATAAAAAATAATAATGAGTATTATATCTATATATATATATATGTTGTATCCCAGAGTAAGTGATAACCATTTTGTTGTATATTGCTTAAACGAATGTATTTTACTATGATTATTCCTCTAGTTTAGAGTGAACATTTAAAGATTTTAGTTATATACATATTTTTTTTTATCATTAATATATGTAAAAATGTTGAACAATAGAACATCAGCTTTAATTATTTATAACGATAAAATTCTTCAACTTAAGTTTTGTCTTTATTTTTTTTTTTTTTGGGTCATCAACAATTATCAAATAAATAAATATATTTACCGTGGTTCAAAGGGTCAAACAAAGTAGACTACATGTGTTTTACATTCATATGATATGTGCCGATTTATCATTTACATATGCGCCGTAACCAACGTTGGTCCATCCTATGTGCCGCTAAATCATTTCAACATTTCTAATCGTAAAAGTTGAACATTTGATTTAATTGTTTTTGCTACAAAATTTGGGTTTTTTTATATAGAAAAAATTGTTATAAGAAGATATAAACTTTATGGCCTAGACCCTAGATAATTTGTATTACATATTTTAATATTAAATTAAAACATTTGTCAAAATTAAAAACAAAACTTAATTTGGTAATAATCAAAGTCTCGTGTTTTGTAATAACCACATAGAATTAGGATTTTCTAATCTTATCTAATCAGAATTAAGGTTTCTAAGATCTAATTATTAATCTATGGAAAATAAAATTCAAAAAAGAGAAAAAACAAATAAACTGTAACACCATTTTATTTTTAAAAACTATTCTGTTATATCTATATTAATCTAATAAATTATATGAAGCAAAACCAGATCCTATTTATATAAAAAATTTCATAAGACAAAACCAGAGTCATCTAAAACTGTCTAACACAATATTTTTCCTTCAAAACTTTTCTTTATTCTTAGTTTCCCCGAGAACTTACAAGTGATTGAGTTTTTTTTTTTAAAATTTACAATTATCTCTTCAAATAAATGAATAAATGCCAAATTCCTTAAATAAAAATAAAATGTGGTATTTTAAGAAAAAAATCCATCTTCCGACAATTATGGCACATCCACTTCATAGTCCACTCTCACATAAATGTTAAATCTCAACCACTCTTGAGTCCATCACAATTTCGTCTTTTTAAATTATACCGCATCAAGTATTTTTAATATCACTAAAAGTTTTAAATTAATAAAACATAGCAAACATTGTTGTGAATAACTTCTCCATTAGAATTTCAAACATTAAAGTTTTAATTCAAAGTGACATGAAATAGTTTGGTCCTCGTCTTTCTAATTCTATGTAAACGTTATAATATACAAAAACCATATTCATATAAAATTAACAACTTGACTCTAAAAGATGCAATTTAATGGAAAAAAAATTATCTACACGATTATAAATAGTCCAAAAGATGCGCCAGACATATATATATATACATATATATATATATCACCTACGATCGATTCTATATAATCATAAAAGATAATAAAACCGGTTCGACAAATTTGATTTGGTTATGATCATATTTTTTTAGGTCATTGTATAAAATAGAAAGAATATACATTGGTTGGGCATGAGGACGACCGCTCAACCAATAAAATCATGTAGAGAGATGATACGTCTTCACACGGTTTGTCCAATATTCTATGACCTTACATGTTCTGTTTGAATTGGTTCAGTAAAGTACGATTTTATTTCAATTAGGTGTGGGTTAAATGGGTCAATTCAACCCAATCCAATAACAAAAGTTTATAGTTAAATCTATTTGGTTTAACCCATCTGATCAGTTCACCCAATAAACTTATTAACCACATTATTCAATTAAACCTAAATGATTTGAATTGAATCCTATCTAAAAACCAAATCCGAATCAAATCTAAATCGAATAGAATCTTATATGTATGAATTCGAGTCGAATCTCAATCGAACACAATCTTTTATAATAAAAAATCCAAAACGAATGATATTTTTTTTCATTATAAAAACTGAATTCGAATCGAAATCTAACCGGAAAGAATTCTTAAAAAAAATATGAATTGAAGGGAATCCTATATAAAGACTGAATTCGAATCAAATCTGAATAGATGTAAAGAAATCATTTGGATATTTAAGAAAATGTTTTGAATATGTAAAATTTATTTACAAGAGATAAATATTATATTTGAAAATACGGATGTACTTTATTTAATATTTTTATTTAATTTTTTATAAAATTTTGATTATTGAAATTATATTTTACAAAATATTATTAATATATAATCACATCTAATCTAATTTTATATAGAAATACCATGTGTTAATCGATAAATCAATTAAACTACATATTTCAATTGAGTTCAAATGGATTAACCCAGCCCATTTGGTTTTAAAGATATTATTATTGGTTTAGGTTAACCCAATGTATTATTTCAAATAATCCAAATGGGTTGGAATTAAATGGTTAGTTAAACCATTTTGCCTTCCCTAAGTTTCATGTATGTGTTAGTTTTTGCGGAATCGGACTTGTTAAGAGCTCAAATATGGGGAAAGCTGTTGAGTGAAGTAGAAGCTTCGGAAGTAAAGAAGAGGTTGTACGGCTGATCAAAGACCAAATGAGTTGTGTTCGAAAGTTTCGAATCTGTGTAGAAGGTCTTGAATACTCTAAGTCGTAATGTTGAAGGGAGTTTAATGAATCCAAGAAAAATTATCCATCATTATAATCTTATGGGAAAATGACATTTTCCTACACAGACTTTGTAAAATGTGACCTTTTCCTACACGAATTTTTAATTTGACAAAAAACTACACCAAATTATCAAATGTGTCAAATTGATACACGAACTACCCAATTTAATTGCAATTTCCTACACAATCTGAAAACGGTGTTAAGTGTCCGTTAACCGCTGACGTGGCACGCCACATAGATTTTTTGCCACATCAGCATGCCACGTCGGATTTTTAAAAAAAAATCCAAAAAATATGAAAAAAATCGAAATTTTAAAAAAAATTAAAAATAAAATAAATAAACAGCAAAATATATATATACATATATATTCATATCTATATACAAATAAAAATATAAATATATATACAAAATAAAAAAATATACACATATATATACAAATATATATACATATACATACAAACAAATATATTTATATATACATATACATATATAAATACATATATATGTATATATATACATATACATATATACATACATACATACATATATAAAATAAAAATATTATATATATATATATATATATATTCATATCTATTCATATCTATGTACAAATACAAATATAAACATATATACTCCTATATATATATACTTGTATATTTTTTTATTTTGTATGTATGTATGTATTTAT